CTTTATTCGCCGTCCAGGCCCCGCACTGCGCCCCCGACGCGGCTCAGAAGACCTTCACCGACTCCAGCTGCAGGTCCCCGCCCACCTCCAGGAGGCGCACGCGCGCCGGCGGGATGCGGTGGCGGAAGTGGTGGTATTCCGAGTCCCCGACCACCGCCTGCGGGACGAGGGGCGCGTCACGCTCGGGCTGCGGGGGCCGCCTCCCCGCTGCTCGCCGACTCCGCCCCGCGCCCGCCGTCCGCCCCGGGCCCCGGGCCCCGGGCCCCGGTGGGACAATGGGCGCCTGTTCCTTCTAAGCCCTTGTCCTGAGGGTGCCTCAGTTGGCTGTTGGCAGCCGAGCGCTTCGTGGGTGTCATTAGCGCCAACCCGGCGTCCACCGCCTCCCTCGGGACGCGCAGATTTAAAGTGGCGAACGGCTGGGTGCTGCGGGGTCTGCAGCGACCACTCCCTCTGGGCCTTGCTGCTGCTCCCTGGCTCTCAGCCCGCCCTCGCCCCTGTCCCGCGGTCCCGACCTCAGGTGCAAATGAACAGGGGGCCCCACCTCTCCGCCAGGACACCCACACTCTGGCCACCTCAGTCTCGCTCGCTCCTTCCTTGTCCCTACCTGCCCTTGTGGCACTACTGTGGCTGCACCGAGGGGGAGAGAGGGACTGAGGACACCTGCCCAGCCTTGGCCACGCCTTTGCTCCCCACTTCCACCCAGGGCCTTGCTGGCCTTTCCCAGCCACGGGAGGGAGCTGGGTCTTGGTGCCCACCCCTGGGACAGAGGTGCACCTTGAAGCCTTGTTCCGTGGCGATGAGGAGCACGTCGAAGGGCTGCCCACGCTGAAAGGGAAGGCCATGGCCACGCTCCTCCTGGCCCCAGGTTCCCTTCTCCATGGTGTTGAAGACCACTGTAGACTCGTCCATCCGGGGGTTGAAATGCAGGGCAGCCTCAGCACCCTCCTCCTCACTGCACAGCAGGTTCACATAAAACCTGGTGGATGGGGGTAGGTGGCATAAGTCAGGAGGGAAGAACCACTCAGACCAAGGTCAAGGGCTAATAGATCAGGACTCACCATTGCAAAGGCACATCGAAATTTACAGGGACCTGAGTATGTCACACAGCGGGAAGGAGGGGTTGTAGACAGGAGTCTAGGGAGCCCAGATTCCAGGGCAACCAAACACTTATTGAGGGCATGACCACGCATCCACCTGGTAAGAGTCCCTATGCTATGGCCCCGGTCCCCTTCAATTCCAGAGTCTGGGAGTCACCAAGAGTCCTGGTGCTGATGGCCAGGGTGCTCCAGATTCCCAGGGCACGCCCAGTTCCCAAAGGGCTGGGAAGAACACCAGGGACCCAATATTTATGGACACCCTAGATTCCTAGAAAACCTGAAGTTCCTAGACCCAGGAAGCCATACAATTGATTGCTTAGGCCCTCAGAGGCCCAGGGCACCTCCAAATCACAAANCCCAGACCCAGGAAGCCATACAATTGATTGCTTAGGCCCTCAGAGCCCAGGGCACCTCCAAATCACAAGGACATATTTCCAGAGTCCCGGTGACTCAGTTTGGAAGCCATAGAACTAGAGATAGGAATCCTGAAATGGCCTTGGAAGCCCCAGATTATTAGGGACCCCTGCTCCAAAATTAGGGGACACATCTGTGAAAACATCAGATTCCAAAAGGCTGGTAATGGCTTGGGGATTCCAGACCCTGGTGGGCAAAGGTGGCCCAGGAGCCCTCATCTCTGGGCTGTGAGAAGCTGGGCTGAGACCTNGTAGGGCACATTCTGCAAAAGCCCGGGTGGGAGGGGATGAGTGGACCAGGGACCAAGGAGAGGGACAGGTGGGTCACCCCAGGGAGAATACAATCAGAGCAGCACAATCAGAGAGAAGAAAGGCACCGGGAGAAGCAAAGAGAGTCAGACACACGGAAAGAATTGGTAAGTGAAGCCTAGGAATTAACAGAGCCCTGCCTCTGTGCTCAGTGGTTAAAGTGGCCTCCCACACACCAGAGGGTCGTGGGTTCAGATTATGGTCAAGGGCATGTACCTGGATTGCAGGTTCAATCCCCAGCCCTGGGGGGGCTGCGTGCCAGAGGCAACAAATTTATATGTCTCTCTCACATCAATGTTTCTCTCTCTCTTACTCCCTCCATCCCTCCCTTCCACTCTCTCTAAAAATCAATAGAAAATATAGCCTCCAGTGAGGCTTAATAACAACAAAAAGTAATTAACAGATTAGAGGGAGAAACCAACAGGAGGCATCAAGAGGACCTGGGAGCATCGAGATGGGTGGGTCCACCCAGAAAGCAGCACCCAGACACTTCACAGCACACTCAACCACCCACCTTCTCCTGTGAAACAGGAGACCTCAGCCCCTCCCCCACTCTGGTGCAGCCTTGGGTCCAACACCCCCCAACCCTAGGCCCTACAACACTCACAGAGCTCCCTGCCATGGCTGGGACAGTGGGACAGACAATGGTGGTGGTGGGTATGGCTCCTGGAACCTTAAGTAAAAGGCAGGTGTGGCTGGGCCTGATGACTCACCCCCTGTCTTTCCACACCCACCACCCACACCTGGCACAGACCCTAGCCCTGGGGCCAGGGTGGCCCAGCACCCCCTTCTTGGGGCCTCTCACCCTTCTCAGTCACTGTGGGCTCCCAGCTGAACTGCCCCTCTCCTTTCAGCTAATGATAGAGGCAGATAACAACAACAACAACAATAATAATAATAATAATAACGACCTCAAAAACCAAGAAGGCTCCTTGAGCCACTGTCCATCCAGCCCTATCTTCCTGCTGCCTGGCAGAGAGAGAGGCCCTTATCCCATTTGTCCTGGAAAACTTGAGTCTTCAGAGGCCAAGTTGGAGGTTGGAACTCCGACCCCTCTCTCCCAGGTTAGGATCTGTTGCGTGGGGCTAAGGTTGTGTCTCCCAGGAAATTCCAGGTATGCTCCTGTAATATGCTGATAACCATGGCAACAACGACAAATACTAAACAGGGAGCTCTGGCTCTAGCCAGTTTGGCTCAGTCCTTAGAGCATCAGCCTGGGACTGAAGGGTCCCGGGTTGGATTCTGGCCAAGAGCACTTACCTCCATTGCAGGGCTCCATCCCAGGCCCTGGTACTGGCATGTTCAGGAGGCAACCAGTGGATGTTTCTCTCACATCAATGTTTCTCTCTTTCTCTCCCTGGGGAGGGAGGATGGGCAGCTAAACTGAGTGAAGGCTGCAAGCTCCCCATTTTGTGGAGAAGAAAACTCAGGCTTAGAGAGGGGCAGCCTCTGAGCCAAGACCTCCCAGCAAGGAAGGGGCCAGGCCTGGGCGGGAGTCTGGGCGGTGTGCCCAGGGCATGTCATGGCACTTGAAACAGAGGACAGTGAGGGTTGGCGGTTATGGCACCAGCATCTGGGAGTGGAGAGATTCCCAGGATGATGGACTCCATGGCTCTTCCAATTCTTGTCCCAGTCTGCTCTGCCGTATCCCAATGACACATCTCCTCGATTGCCTCATCGTGGCTGCACATTTCTCCACACGCTGCCAACCTGCAAGTCTACACTTGCCTTGGTGTTGGGCCCAGTGTTCACACCCAGGCTGCTATCAGTCTGATTTCTGGTTTATTTCTGATAACTCAGACGCTCACCCTTGATGATTCTTACTCATTTGTGGGCAGTATCTTCACATCAGTGCTGGAAATACATTTTCGAGAGCGTTGCCTTTCATTTCCAAATAAATAGGGGATGTATTTTTTCCCCAATACTCTGTTCTCAAGCTCTACTCCACACTCATAAAGCCTGCGGATTTAACAGAATACTTTGACGAGTTTTGTCAAATGCATAGGAAACCTGTGCAACCACCACCCCAATCCTGTTTCTTCCAGGTCCCTCCACAAAATGCGGAGCTTGCAGCCTCCACTCAGTGCAGCTGCCCATCCTCCCTCCCCAGGGACTTGTTCCCCCTCCAGCACCAGCACCTGGGCTGCCTCCGGCTGGGGAGGGGTGGGGAGGGTGCGGGAGGCCTGGGGGCGTAGGGGAGGGCAGTGGATCAGGTGCTGAGTCTGGTTGTCTCCACCCAAAGTTTCCATTCTCCATTCTGGAGCAGTCTCTTCCCTGGGGCAGGACAGTGAGGGGTGAAAAAGGAGAGGAGGGCTGCTGGGCTGTAGGAGGGGTCTCTGCCTAGTGCCCCCATTCCTCTTCCTTGACTTCAGAACCCCCTTTCAGCATTCTCCCTCCTCCCCACCCCTACCCTTCCTCCCCTGGGTTTTTCTACAGCCTTAGCCCATGGCTGCTGGACATGGGCCTGGATGGAGGGTCCCACTGTGTTCTCTTCCTTGGTCTGGGGGTGGGTAGGTCCTAGGACACCACCCCCTACTCCACTCCTTGTCCTGAAAGTAGGTGGGAGAATGGCAGTAGTGCTGGGAAGAGGAACAGGAGAGGGTACAGGACAGGAAGGCATAGTCAGAGGCAGGGAGAGACAGAGACAGAGAGGCACAGGGATGCTAGGGCCTTCAGGAAGACAGAACCTTCCAGAGATGCAGAAAGCCAGAGACACAGTCACCCTAGTATTGCACAGCCCTGTGCCCTGGGCAAATTGCTCCCCCTCTCTGAGCCTCAGTTTCCTTGTCTGTAACATGGGAGAGACCCATGCCTGTCCCAATGGCCTCTGTGAGCATCACTGATCTCTTGCATATGCTGGCCAGAGGCAGAGGCTCAGTAAATGGCAGCTGTTATTTCTCTTTCCTTTTTGCCCATATTTCCTGAGCATTTACTGTGTGCCAGGCACTGCTCTAGGCACCAGGGCACGGCATTGAACATCAGGCACAAATCCTGCCCCTTAGAGCTCCTTTTTTTAAAAATCATGACCAGAGGATATTTTTTCCATTGCTTTTCAGAGAGAGTGGAAGGAAGAGAAGAGAAGAGAGAGAGGGAGAGAAAGAGAGAAACATTGATGTGAGAGAAACATCCATTGGTTGCCTCCTGAACATGCCAGTACCAGGGCCTGGGATGGAGCCCTGCAATGGAGGTAAGTGCTCTTGGCCAGAATCCAACCCGGGACCCTTCAGTCCCAGGCTGATGCTCTAAGGACTGAGCCAAACTGGCTAGAGCCAGAGCTCCCTGTTTAGTATTTGTCGTTGTTGCCATGGTTATCAGCATATTACAGGAGCATACCTGGAATTTCCTGGGAGACACAACCTTAGCCCCACGCAACAGATCCTAACCTGGGAGAGAGGGGTCGGAGTTCCAACCTCCAACTTGGCCTCTGAAGACTCAAGTTTTCCAGGACAAATGGGATAAGGGCCTCTCTCTCTGCCAGGCAGCAGGAAGATAGGGCTGGACGGACAGTGGCTCAAGGAGCCTTCTTGGTTTTTGAGGTCGTTATTATTATTATTATTATTGTTGTTGTTGTTGTTATCTGCCTCTATTATTAGCTGAAAGGAGAGGGGCAGTTCAGCTGGGAGCCCACAGTGACTGAGAAGGGTGAGAGGCCCCAAGAAGGGGGTGCTGGGCCACCCTGGCCCCAGGGCTAGGGTCTGTGCCAGGTGTGGGTGGTGGGTGTGGAAAGACAGGGGGTGAGTCATCAGGCCCAGCCACACCTGCCATTTACTTAAGGTTCCAGGAGCCATACCCACCACCACCATTGCCTGTCCCACTGTCCCAGCCATGGCAGGGAGCTCTGTGAGTGTTGTAGGGCCTAGGGTTGGGGGGTGTTGGACCCAAGGCTGCACCAGAGTGGGGGAGGGGCTGAGGTCTCCTGTTTCACAGGAGAAGGTGGGTGGTTGAGTGTGCTGTGAAGTGTCTGGGTGCTGCTTTCTGGGTGGACCCACCCATCTCGATGCTCCCAGGTCCTCTTGATGCCTCCTGTTGGTTTCTCCCTCTAATCTGTTAATTACTTTTTGTTGTTATTAAGCCTCACTGGAGGCTATATTTTCTATTGATTTTTAGAGAGAGTGGAAGGGAGGGATGGAGGGAGTAAGAGAGAGAGAAACATTGATGTGAGAGAGACATATAAATTTGTTGCCTCTGGCACGCAGCCCCCCCAGGGCTGGGGATTGAACCTGCAATCCAGGTACATGCCCTTGACCATAATCTGAACCCACGACCCTCTGGTGTGTGGGAGGCCACTTTAACCACTGAGCACAGAGGCAGGGCTCTGTTAATTCCTAGGCTTCACTTACCAATTCTTTCCGTGTGTCTGACTCTCTTTGCTTCTCCCGGTGCCTTTCTTCTCTCTGATTGTGCTGCTCTGATTGTATTCTCCCTGGGGTGACCCACCTGTCCCTCTCCTTGGTCCCTGGTCCACTCATCCCCTCCCACCCGGGCTTTTGCAGAATGTGCCCTACAAGACCTTGCTGCCTGAGGGTGTCAGAACGGGCACCGTGATGAGAATTCGTGGTGTTGTCCCCGACAAAGCTGGCAGGTGAGACTCCAGTGTGACCCCAGGTTCCAGAGGTAAGGGGTGGGTGGTGTCAGCCCAGCTTCTCACAGCCCAGAGATGAGGGCCTCTGGGCCACCTTTGCCCACCAGGGTCTGGAATCCCCAAGCCATTACCAGCCTTTTGGAATCTGATGTTTTCACAGATGTGTCCCCTAATTTTGGAGCAGGGGTCCCTAATAATCTGGGGCTTCCAAGGCCATTTCAGGATTCCTATCTCTAGTTCTATGGCTTCCAAACTGAGTCACCGGGACTCTGGAAATATGTCCTTGTGATTTGGAGGTGCCCTGGGCTCTGAGGGCCTAAGCAATCAATTGTATGGCTTCCTGGGTCTGGGAAATGTAGGCTTCCTAGGAATCTAGGGTGTCCATAAATATTGGGTCCCTGGTGTTCTTCCCAGCCCTCTGGGAACTGGAGGTGCACTCTGGCCATCAGCACCATGACTCCTTGCCAACTCCCAGACTGTGGAAATGAAGGCAACCCAGGCCACAGCATAGTGATCCTTGCTCGGTGGATGAGTGTCCAAGAAATGTTTGGCCCTCCTGGAATCTGGGTTCCCAGTCCAGCAGCCCACAAACCCTCCTTCTGTGGTGTGTGACATACTCAGGTCTCTGTAAATTTAAGTTTGTTCAATGGTGATTCTTAATTCATTGGCCCTTGACCTTGGTCTGGGTGGTTCATGGCTCTTGATATCCATTCCTGCCACTCCCCGCCCCTATTCTCCCTTCACCAGGTTTCACGTGAACCTGCTGTGCAGTGAGGAGGAGGGTGCTGAGGTTGCCCTGCACTTCAACCCCCGGATGGACCAGTCCACAGTGGTCTTCAACACCAAGGAGAAGGGAACCTGGGGCCAGGAGGAGCGTGGCCATGGCCTTCCCTTTCAGCGTGGGCAGCCCTTCGAAGTGCTCCTCATCGCCACAGAACAAGGCTACAAGGTGCACCTCTGTCCCAGGGGTGGGCACCAAGACCCAGCTCCCTCCCGTGGCTGGGAAAGGCCAGCAAGGCCCTGGGTGGAAGTGGGGAGCAAAGGCGTGGCCAAGGCTGGGCAGGTGTCCTCAGTCCCTCTCTCCCCCTCGGTGCAGCCACAGTAGTGCCACAAGGGCAGGTAGGGACAAGGAAGGAGCGAGCGAGACTGAGGTGGCCAGAGTGTGGGTGTCCTGGCGGAGAGGTGGGGCCCCCTGTTCATTTGCACCTGAGGTCGGGACCGCGGGACAGGGGCGAGGGCGGGCTGAGAGCCAGGGAGCAGCAGCAAGGCCCAGAGGGAGTGGTCGCTGCAGACCCCGCAGCACCCAGCCGTTCGCCACTTTAAATCTGCGCGTCCCGAGGGAGGCGGTGGACGCCGGGTTGGCGCTAATGACACCCACGAAGCGCTCGGCTGCCAACAGCCAACTGAGGCACCCTCAGGACAAGGGCTTAGAAGGAACAGGCGCCCATTGTCCCACCGGGGCCCGGGGCCCGGGGCCCGGGGCGGACGGCGGGCGCGGGGCGGAGTCGGCGAGCAGCGGGGAGGCGGCCCCCGCAGCCCGAGCGTGACGCGCCCCTCGTCCCGCAGGCGGTGGTCGGGGACTCGGAATACCACCACTTCCGCCACCGCATCCCGCCGGCGCGCGTGCGCCTCCTGGAGGTGGGCGGGGACCTGCAGCTGGAGTCGGTGAAGGTCTTCTGAGCCGCGTCGGGGGCGCAGTGCGGGGCCTGGACGGCGAATAAAGTCTTATCCCGGGTCTGGGCGCCTGGTGTGTGTCTGTGTCTCCTTCACGTAGACGAGGAAAGCAGTTCAGAGACGGGAGGACACTGCCTAGGGTCACACAGAGCTTCCGCGCCCGAGGCGGGATCGGGGTCTGGGTGTGCGAGGCGGTTGCGGTCCGAACGCGTGGGAGGGTCTCGATCTGCGGGGGCGGGCCTTTGGCTGGTCCGGCCGCAGCCCATTGCAGGGCAGCGGGTGGTCAGCTGTCGGTGACCTGGCGGAGTTTTGAGGGACTCGAGCCTTCCCTTGGTGCCCCCTCCGCGGATCTAACGAAGCTCCACTCAGCGCATCTGGACGCAGGGAAAGAGGCCCCGCGGACCTGGCCGGTTGGAGACCCGGGCCTCGCGGAGACGGGGCATGAAGTCTATCAGGCCCCAGCCCTGCCCTCTGGCCCCATCTCTCCGCGCTGCCCTGGCCTCTGGGTGCCTAGAGGCGCTCGGGCAGGGCGGGGCGGGGGAGTCGATCGGGGCGACGCGGGCCTGGCCTCAGGCCCCCACCCGCGTGCTCCCCAAGGCAGACGGGTACAGCAAAGCCGCAGGTGCCCCGTGGAGGGGACTGTCACGCGAAGGGCCGGGCTCCTGGGTCCCCGCGGGCCCCATGCGCACACATCCCTCCTCTGCTCCCCCAAGTGGTTCAGGACGGCAAGGGGAGCCTGCGCTCAGGCACAGACGCCCAGCTCACCCCCCCCCGCCCACCAAGGGGGTGATTATCTGGTGTCAGGCGGGTGGCTGAGTCACCACCAGGTGGCCTTTGGGGTAGGGGTGGGGTAGCGAGCGCCCCGAGCCCCGCACCCCCCGCAAAGCGCTCCTGGGCCTGTGTCTGGAGCCCGCAGGTGGCCCGCTCGGGGCCGGGTCCCGGTTCTCGGAAATGTCCGTTTGCTCTTCGGGCTGCAGGCCGGGGACCCGCGCACCTCCGGACGCACCGCTCCCTTCCCTGGGGGCCGCTGCCAGCGTCGCGGGCCGGTTCCTGACAACCTGAAACCGCGCTGGGCAGTGGAAGGACCAGGCCCGGCCCGGGACTTGACTCTTTTCAGAATGTGGTTTCCTGCCCCGTGGGACCCTTCGGCTGAAGCCACCCCTCCCATGCCGGGCCCTTGAGAATGCATCTTTGGGTAGGCCGAGGAATGAGGCTGTTAACCTAAAAAAATAAAAATAAAAACAAAAGTGAGAGGCAATAAGCGTTTGAGATCACAGAATTGCAATTGAGGGCATAGATCTGCTTAGAAACCCAAATAGTGTCCAGATTTTAGGGTGAAGACGAGGGGTTTCATGAAAAAGGGGAAGGGAAATAGTCACATTTATTGAGGCAGTTCCTCTGTAAAAAAAAGATACAGAAGAACTAAAGAGTTATGGTACACAAAACATATTCACTTTCTGCACCAGAGGGTAACTGTCAAAATACAGAGTTAGCTAAGTGAATAGAAGAAATGAATTTCCACTGGTGCCAGCAAATCAAGTTACTCTTTAGTTATCTCTAGGCATGGCTGGTTACTGATTATAAAGAACGTCCATCGTTATCAGTCCTTGTGGCCAGGATGTCTGCTTTCTTGTTAGCTTTCCCAAGGATTATCTATTAGACAGTGTTGGTTTGGCCCAGTCCAGAGGTTATTTTGGCCTGTTTAAACATTTCAAAAGTTCAAGGAGTAAGACTGCAAGGCAGTACCTCTGTAAGGCTGCTCTGGCTCCATTTAAAAACAGCTCCACTTAGGGCTGCCAGCGATGAAGCCAGCTAGCTCACTGCAAACAATGAGTTTGACTCATCAAAATTAAAATATATACAGGGTGGGGCAAAAGTAGGTTATTGAAAATAAACAGACTCCAGTTTCGATATCAGGGCTACTGCCCCTGTCAGGAGCGAATTGTTCTCAGTTTCTGGGTTTCTGGGTTCTTCCAGGTTGTAAATTTAAAGATGCTAGAAGAAATAACCAAAGAGATACAGAAGAACTAAAGAGTTATGGTACACAAAGCATATTCGCTCTCTGCACCACAGGGTAACCGTCAAAATACAGAGTTCCAAACCTTTTGGACCTCTGCCAGCCATATGGCGTCACCATTCATTGTCATCCAGTCCCGATGGAGGGACTCCTGACAGCCAGCTGCTGTGCAATAATGGAGGAGCTTGCAGTCTGCCTTACAAATAATCAAAAACCATAAGACACTATTATGGAGCAGTGCAGACTTGTCTTTAGCCTCTTGTCTCCCACTATATCTGTCTGACACAGTATCACCACAGCAAGCCATAGACAGCCCCTGAGGAGCGGGAGCAATACAGACCATAAAGCAATGTAATTATCTACACACGTCCCAGCATGAACTAGCTGCACCTCTGTCATCAGGAGAGTCACTATCAACGTCTGTATCTACATAAAAAAAGAATTTTGAAATAGATATATAACCATGTCTGAAATTTAAGAGTTCTCTAACATAATTTGTTTTAAAGTGAAGCTGCTAGTGTTTTCAACTTGATTGTAAATGTATATGTGAAGTGCCCAGTCAGTGTGGCTCAGTTGACTGAGCATCGCCCTGTGCACCGAGGTTGCAGGTTCAATTCCCGTTCAGGGCACATACCCAGGTTGCTGTTCAGTCCCCAGTCTGGGCTTGTACGAAGGCAACCGATTGATGTTTCTCTCCCTCTCTCCCTCTCTCTCTCCCTCTCTCTCTCTTTTTCTCTCTCTCTTCCTCTCTCTAAGCATATCCTCAGGTGAGGATTTTTAAAAATGTATATGTGAAGAATTCCTAAAACTTTTATTGATTAAAAAAAAAAATGGCTCCACTTAATGTTAGCTTTTCACAAGGGGTCACCTCTTCCAGTGGAAAACCTGAGAAAGTCTGAAATCCCCTAGTCCCCCAGGACTTGTTGAATAACTTAGTTTTTACTTTTATTTGTATTTGTCAAGGATTATAAATATATTTTTTTAAACTTTGTACAGATAACATGTACATGTGGCACAAATTTCAAAAGTATGCAATGTAAAGTACAGTTATTGGCACCACTGGTGGAGGTGGTTGGGGTCCTCGAATTTGCTGATAGTGATCCATCTTATTGATTTCCTTATTGGTTAATCCTCACTGGAGGATATTTTTTCCACTGATTTTTGGAGAGAGTGGAAGGGAGGGAGGGAGGGAGAGAGAGAGAGAAACATGGATAGGTTGCCTCCCGCACAGCCCCCCACCAGGGTGGGGGGTTGAACCCGCAACCCAGGCACATGCCCTTGACCAAAGAATCAGACTTGAGACCCTTCAGTGCTTTGGCTGATGCTCTAACCACTGAGCAACACTGGCCAGGGCAGGAAAAAAATGTTTGTACTGCAATTACAACTTTCTTCATTTCAAAATAAATTTTAAAAATATATATTTTATATATGCATATATATATATATGCAAGAGAAAGTCCTCCTTTATGAGAGTAAACATCTGTTACCTATGTCTTCATTTCTTGGGTATCTTTCAAAAACTCTTCTGTAAACACACCCATATGCAGTTTCTCTGCCCTCATTGCATAAACAGTAGCATCCTCCACCCACTGACCTCGTTTTTGTCACTTAGCAAATATATCTGTGTCCGATGTCACTCCCTTTGCTGGCTGCCCAGTGGTCCATCCCAAGGAGGAGCAGCCGAATGCGATGGTGTCACAGCATCTACTACAACAAACCATGCCTCAGTCAGTGTCCTGGGGCCCACGTCAGCCTAGCGCTCTTACCCTTTTTATAATCTCTGTTCTGATTATAAAATGTATGTGTGTATATTCCAGAATGTTGAGTAACAAAATTAAAGTCAGCCCCAATTTCACAATCCAGGTAATAGTCACTCTTAATACGTGCATGTTTCCTTCTAGCTTTTTTTTTTCTATAATAGTTTATATACACTATACTTTTGGGGGGAAATTGAAATATATACAAGGTGGGGCAAAAGTAGGTTTACAGTTGTGAGTACAAAAAACAGTTTATTCTTGTATTATTATTTATTAATTACTTTATTCCATATGAACATTAGTAGTGGTCATTCTTTTTTTTTTTTAATCTTCACCTAAGGATTTGTTGTTGTTTTTATTGATTTGAGAGAGAGGAAGGGAGAGAGAGAGAAACACTGATGTGAGAGGGAAACATTGATTGGTTGCCTCCCTTACTCGCCCTGACCAGCGATCAAACCTGCAATCTTTCTGGTGTAGGGGACAATGGCCCAACCAACTGAGCCACCCGACCAGGGCTAGTGGTGTTCCTTCTTGATTTTAGATCATAGCTGCTGTGAGGAGTGAATGGGCTGATACACATAAGGCCCTAAGAGCAGCGTTTGGGTAGGGGCGGGGTACCTAGATTTACTAGGATGGGTGGGTGGATGGACGGATGATTGGAGCCTGAATGGACAGTGCACGACTGAACCAAGGAATGAAGGAACCGTGCAGGGGGCAGGGGGTGAACGGAGTCACATTCACTCATTAGACACCCTCGGACAGTTTATTAGAGGCTTAAAAGGGAGTCTTATGGGGTCTTTCTCTGTGTGTTCCCAGGGGTTAAGGTCCCAGGAATAGATCAGATCTGGACGTAAGACAAGGTGACATCACCCTCGATCTCCACAGTGTCCACCCTCTGGAAGGCTGAGAGGCGATGGGAGAAGTCGAAGAGGTGCTGGCCATTGGCGTAAACTTTGAAGCGGTCAATACCACAGCGAATGGACAGCTGCAGGGAGAGGGGCGGGCATGAGGCCATGGCCAGGACAGAGGCAGTGGAGGGAAGGGGGACAGAGAGCCAGACTCACATCAAAGAACTGGCCACAACCAAACGGGTTATAAGAGAGCTTCCTCTCCTCAGATCCCCACGAGCCATTCAGATAGCTGTTCCGAACCACAGTGTCCTCGGTGATGCGGGGGTTAATGTGGAGAGCCACATCCCCTGAAGAGCCCACCTTGAAGTTGATGGCAAACCTGGGGACAGAGAGGGAGGTGAGAGTCAGAAGGGGGCCAGCACCTGGTCCCCAAAGGAGGAGGGGGCTGGAGACTGGACTCCTGGGTCGAAGGGAAGAGGGAAGCCGAGGATTCCCACTGCAGCCTCAGTTCTCTACCTCTTGCCAGTGGGGGGCACATAGCCCTTGACTATGATGGTTTTTCGGGCTGTCAGCCCCCCTTGCAGTCTTCCTGTAAATGGCACAGGCTGTGAAAAGAGAACATGGTGTCCCATCATCTCAGGTCACCAGAAACCAGATGCAAGGACCAATTTTCAGAGAGGGGCCCCTGCTATCCCCAACCCCTGTCCCCTGCCCCACCCTGACCACCAACTCCTCCTCCTTCCCACTTCCCATCCCCAACACCTTCTTCCCACTCTATTTCCTGCCCTCTTGGGGTCCCCGTGGATCAGTGTCCTTAACCCCCCTCAGTTCCTGCTTCCCCACAATCGCCCACCACAGAGCCCTAAACTGCAGGGCTCCTTACCGGGTTGAAGGTTGGGGGTCCCTCCATGGTCTGTGAAGTGAAGAAGAAATATTATTCTAGAATATTCAACAGATATTGAAGACACACCTACGGCATCTCCAGGGGCTGGATTAGTGCTCCTGGGAATCCAAGAACTAGGACCCTCCCAGTCCTCGCCCCACCCCCCAGATGGCCACACAGCCCTCTCACTCACAGGCAGGTTGCTTGGCGGGGGACAGCAGCTCTGTCCGGGACCCTACATGGACAGAAAAAAGGCAGGAATGGTGAAAAGGACCGGGGTCCTTCCGCTGCCCTAGTACCTACTCAGCCACCAAACCCCCACCTCAAGGGGAAATTTGTCACCCACCAGCAGGTACTTACTGGGTACGCTGGGATAACCATGGGGTTCTGTGGGCACAAGAGAGGAGGTGACAAAAGGGACTCCAACTAGGGCCTGGAAGGTGTTAAGGATGCCTGCCCTGGGCTAGCCTACCACCACCATCCAAGGGAACTCTGGTGTCAAAGGGTGACACACAGATGGCTCATTAATGGAAGGGACTGGCTGTGTTTAGGGATCTCCAGTGCACAGTGGATCTCACTCCACCCCTTTGGAAAAACCTGGTCAATTCTATTCTTGAACCCTCTCCTACCCTGGCTTCCTGCTGTCCCTCCCCTGCCCCTCTCTGGCCCCAGCAATCCAGAAGCTGCACAGTAAAGTGCACATGCCTCCCAGGCCCACACACTACCCCTGCTCGCCTCATCCTTGACCACCGCCCCTCCCACCCCTCACTCCACGTGCCCACCACCGGGCAACAAGGCGCCCCTGGAACCAGCCAAGTTCTGTGTCTCAGGCTCTCTCAGTCTCAGTGTGCCTCTGTTTCTCTCTCTCTTGCTGTCTCTCATCCACACCTTCTCTCAGGTGGTTCCTTCTGCCCAAAACACCTTTCCCTTCCCTGGTTTCCTTTCATTCACTCTGTTTCCTCTTCTTTCTAATGGTCTCCTCTCTGCCCGGCTTCCATTTTAAGCGGGTTGTTCTGAAGGCCCTTCTCTGAAGGCCTTATTGTTAGTTTTCCTAAGCTCTCTGTGCCTCAGTTCCCACATCTGTAAAATGGCGCTGATGATCAGCAGAGCACTTTCCCTTGGAGGGGCTGGGAGCGCTTATAGGCTGGGCTGTGGGGCCCTCAGCTGAAGGGCACGTCAGGAGTCTGGAGCCCGGGCTTCCCCGAGTAGTTCGAGCGCGTTCTGGTGGCCATTTGTTCACTGCCGACCCGCGAGTGGCGTTTCTAGGTCGTCGGGTACGTGTCTGGTCAGCTTTCACAGGAATGGGAGTGTGGGCCAGTCCACAGCCCCACCAACAATCAGTACCATGTGCCTTTGTCGGGGTGGCTCTTGTAGGTGTGTGGTGGCTCGTGGTGATTTTCACTGAGTTTCTGGGTGACCAGTGCTGTTAGGCAAATCCTCACTAACTTGTTTGCTGTTCCTGAGGTTTCTGTTCCTCCTTATCTTCACTTCCTGGCTCAACTTACATACCTCCTCCTCCAGGAAGCCCTTCCTTAAGACTCCCCAACACTCCTGTAAGTCCCCCATCCCGGCCCTGACCACTGTGACCAACACCAACTGGTGACATAGTAGACTGTCTTGGTCCTCTGGGTCCATGGTGTCACCCAGCAAAGGGCGCCAGGACATCAAGGAATGTGGGAATGAATTAATTAAAGAAAGAAGCAGCCCAAGCCTGAGTAGCTCAGTCGGTTAGAGCGTCATCCTGATACGACAAGGTTGTGGGTTCAATCCCTGCTCAGGGCTCATACAAGAATCAACCAATGAATGCATAAATAAATGGAATGGCAAATCTCTCTCTCTTTCTCTCTCTCTCCCTTCTTCTCTCTAAAATCAATAAATAAAAAAAAAAAAAAGGAAGCAAATAAGAGAAGGAGACCCTACACACCTGGCTTGGGGCCTGCCGGCCTCCAATGAAATTGATTGACTGAAGCTCCAGGTCCCCATCCACTTGCAGGTGAGTGACCATCTGTACAGGGATCCGGTGCCCAAACTCATAGAATGGATCTCCATTTACCACCACCTAGAGGGCAGGGTAAGGTCAGAGTCAACACCCATGACGGGGAAGGTAGAGACAGGAAGCAGGGACAGGGGTCTTTTTAACTTGGGGGCAAAAGTCTTGGGGCTGGCCCTAGCTGGTTTGGCTGCGTGGACTGAAGTGCCCTGGCTTTGATTCCAGCCTTGGTTGTAGTCTCGATCCCTGGCCCTGGTCAGGGGGCGAGTGGGAGGTAACCAATCGATGTGTCTCTCTCACATTGATCTTCCTCTCTCTCTCCCCCTTCTACTCTCTCTGAAAAAGCAATGGAAAAAATATCCTCAGCTGAGGATAAAAAAAAAGTCTTGGAGCTGAGCTGGGTTAACCTCAGAGTCAGGAACCTTGGAGTCCACAATTCAGAGGTCAAGCCGGGGTCAAAAGTGAGCTCACAGATTGGTGGATCCAGGAGGGGACAGTTCAATTCCGGGTCAGGGCACATGCCCGGGGTTGCAGGCTGATCCCCAGCAGGGGGCGTGCAGGAGGCAGCTGATCAATGACTCATTACAGTATTGATGTTTCTATCTCTCTCCCTCTCCCTTCCTCTCTCTGAAATCAATAAATGTTTTTTAAACGTATCTTTATTGATTCCAGAGAGAGGAAAGGAGGGGGAGAGAGAGAGAGAGAGAAACATCAATGATGAGAGAGTCCTTGATCGGCTGCCTAGCCTGCAACCAGGGCATGTGCCCTGACTGGGAATCGAACCCCGATTTCCTGGATCCTAGGTCGATGGTCAACTGCTGAGCCACACCCGGCAGGGCAATAAAAATATATTTTTTTTAAATAAAAAAGAAAGCAGAGGCTCCAGGGGATAGTGATCAGCTTGATGTCACACACTGGCAAAGCTCAGACTCAATCCTTGTCTGCCCAAACTCAAACCATGCTGCTAACCTCCAGAGATGAGGTTAGAAATCTGGTGCCCATATTAGGTCAGATAAAGTTCAGGTGGGTGCCCAGCCCTGCGGTTCCCCTCCAGGAGTCTCCTGACACGGGGCATGCAGGACGCATGTGCACAGGGTGTCTGCTCAGTGTCGGACGCGGGGATGGAGTGAACTCAGAGTGGGTAGGCCAAGAGTCCTGCACAAGCATCGGAAGGTGCAGACCAGGTGTGACAGCAACACAGGGGCTCTGACACACAGGTGATAAGTGGGAACAGAAGCAGAGGGGACAGCACAGCACAGAGGCCACACGTACTTAAAAAACCAAAGAAGCAGAAATAGATCCAGGCTGAGAGCAGACAGGATAAAGGCTACCCCTGGGGGCGAGGGGACTGGCAGGGACATGAGGCGGCTTCTGGGGCTGGATTTGGACTTAGGTGCTGGTTATGAGGGTGCGTTCTCTTATCACGTGAGCTGTGTACACAAGGCATATACTTTTCTGTACCTGGGTCACACACCTCACTAACACATAAAAATACACGATAGCAACCAGTCACAGTGAGTGGGTCTCATTTGGGCCTTGATTCAAACAAACTATAGAAAACAAACAAGGCGTTTATGGACATGTGACACTAAGCAAAGGACTGTCAATTTTTTAGGTGTGATCATGGCATCAGGACTGTGTTCATAAAAACTGAAATACTTATGAGTGCAGGTGTGTGCTATCTGGGGTTCGTTCTGTAATAACTTGGGAGGGGACGTGTGAGGTAAGGGAGAGAGCAGAGTCTGCCGGGACTGGGGCTGGCCAAGGAGATGCGCTGCACTGTGCTCCCGCGTCCTTGCATGTTGACAGCTCTCCAGAGAAACAGCAAACACACAGATTTCGCAAGAACACAAGGAACAGATGATATACATTAAACATATCAGAGGCCTCTCCCCGGTGGAGGAATGGGCATGAGAAAAAGAGATGAGAGAAACAATAAGCGGGAAAGAAGGGCAAGGAAAAAGAGAGGTAGCAAGTGGGG